TTCTTCATCCTTGTTGAGGAGCACATAATGATCCTTCCAAATCTTTTCCTCCATCTGACAGTGTTGTTTTCAGCCCTGGATGTCCTTGGTGAGGTCATGCAACATCAAGCACAGCTATTGACTTGAACTCAGGGCAGCATTACAGATAGCTCTCCCCATGGTCCTTCCTGCTGCCTTTGAATGTCTCACAATGTGCATAGTTTTTAGTACACCCCCAGAGAGGGAGGAAAATCCAGTCTCACGGGTAAAGCCCTTAAATGCCCAGCTTGTGTAACCCATGCGTTTCTCCACTTCCTGATGTTGCTGTGTTTACCAGGGTGGGAAAGGCTGGTCCCGGGGGGGGTGCGCAGTGAAGGAGACATCAAATAGCATGACAGAGAACATGAGATGCCAACAATTTGCCCAATCATAGCTCATCAACAGGTAAGATCGATTGTTAACTGTATTGTGCCTTGCCTGCACGGCAAGTGGCTTTTCCCTTTTTTCTTTTTTCTTATGCTAAGATTGCTCACATTCCACTCAGGCTTAATTACACTGGTAATCGGTGTGTGTAGTTATAATAAAGTCCATCAGACTTCATCCACAGTCTATTGTTATATAATACGATATCCGAAGCGACCCTATGTCCTGTGACAGTGTCAGCAAGGTATCTGGGGTCCAAGTCACAGATCTGGACCTGGGCTTGGCTGTAGCACAGTGCAGGTGCATGCTATGGCACTGGTCTTCACAGGAGACCTATTTTGAACACCCCGTCTCTCTCTGGGCATCTCCCCAAACCTGGATTTTGGTCCAAAGGAAGGCTACAGAGGTGGGAAAGGTTCTGGAAGGCAAGATATACAAGGAGCAGCCAGTCCCCTGGTTTGTTCAGCCCAGAGCAAGGGCTGAGGGGAGGCTTCATGGCAGACTATAGCTCCTAACAAGGATGGATCTGCATGATTCAACCAAATCTGTGTCTGGGGACTTCTGTCAGCTGTACTTCTGTCCATGAAGCAGCAAAGATGGACCAAATACTGAAGAAACTTGAAAAATCAGAATGATGGTAAGAAAAAGCATTTTTTCTTTTTTTCTAAGCAGTGTCATTTAGAACCACATAGGACACAAAGCCAAACAGATATGGTACACTTGCAGGTCATTCCCGGCCATTCTTTTAAAAAGAAATACTCATTCCTGACAGTAGTACTGGTAGTACCGGTTCCTGGACTTTTACAAGGTCCATCTGAGGACATCCTTGTTGCAAAACACCTGTTTACAAAGAGACAAAGAGTGATCTATTGCAAGCAGGTGAGTTCTTGATGGCAATCAATGCCTCCTGCAATCCACTAGGGGGAGGAAACTCATGCAAGGTGTTGTTAGAGGGGTGTTTAACTCATTCTCTTCATTCTGATCATCTGGGTGAGGTGTGTTTTATGTCCACCCATGCAGCCTCCATGAGATGTGAGGGTACAGGGAAATAGAACGCTTTTATGGTGGTCTGGAGGATTGAACTCAAAGTAGCTATCAGGGGTTCACCTTCCATCCCAGGGAACACAAAATATCCATGCTTTTTTAGCAGCTTATATAACAGGATGGAGAGGCATCTGAAATGTTTTCATGACACTGAGCTTTTAGTCACTTGCCTTAGGAGGATGAAATGAGGCGGCAAGATTTGGGGCTGCTAGCTACATGGAATCACCATAGGAAGTTCAGCTAAATGCTGCACTTAGTAGTTGGAGGAAAAAAAGGCAAAAAAAGAAGGGAGGTGGTGCAGCTGTGTGCCGGAGAAGGAGAGGCAGCTCACCACAGTTGTCTGTCCTTGCCAGAAATGTGACTGTTGTTGAGTCATGGTTACAGGAGGCTGCTGAGGTACGTGAGACAGGACATTATTCCACCCCACTTGCTTCTAACAAGGCCTCATTGGGAGGTCAGGCTCAATGAAGGCGTGAGCTAAATGGAAAGGGTCCAAATGGTAACAAGACTGTTTGGAAAACGTGAGCCATGAGGCAGTGTTGAGTAACTGAGTTTGTTTGAATGATGAAAGAAAAGGCTGAACTGGCATACTGTATCTCCTGTAACACAAAAGACAGTCAACTACTCTTTCTTTCTCTTACTTTTGTTATAGATCAGGGAGAAAACCCACATTTCTAGTTAGATTAAACAATTAGATTCTTGGAGGTACGTTAGATATTCAGGAAGATTTTCTAACTTAAAGAGTATTTAAATGCTACATAGAGCAGAGGGAAATCTTGCACCTGCTTTAAGGAAAAGAAGGACAAAAATTGCCAAGGGTGATCTCAGGGTAGGTGGATTTTGTTTCAGAGCAGGGAGACGAGCAAAACAACCATGTCAGGGCCCCACCAACTCCTTCAGTTTCTGCAGTAACCCCACACAGGTGAAAGTAGAACCCTGCAAACATGCACTTGTGAACCCTAAAACCAAAGAGCAAGTCTGGGAGCCCTTCAGAGCTGGGGCAGGATGGTGCCCTGTTGGTACTCTTCATTTCACAGGGATATGTTTGATCAGAATTCTGCTTTGCCACCATTCCCTGAGATGCATCACAGTTGCCTTCATTCTACATGGGAAGTTATGTCAAGAGGCACTTGCTGCCTTCCTTACCAACAGGTCAAACCAGAAGTCTGTGTCCCCAGCTTTGCTGGGCTGCGGTGGAGAAGCAGGCCCTTCTGGAGTGCAATCCAGCTTCTTTTTCTTATTTGTGCACTCAATAAAGCTCTGTTTTTGCCTGAGAGCCAGGTGTCCACTCATCTATAAGGAAATGTGAAGCTGTAGCCATGCCAAAAGTCTCAGTTTTTTTATAAAGAAAAGAGCAGGTACTGTGCAGACAGAAGTAAAATAGCACCCTCTGTCCCCAAAGAAACAAAAGATCTGCATCTTTTAGAATGAGCTTTGTTCCTCCTTTGATCCCATGCATTGCCAAGCAGGCGTGCTGAGTAGTAGACAGAAACTGTGATGACTGTATCAAAATAAACAAGTAACAAATAAAGGAAAATGACCAAAATAATGCAATTTCCTTATCTCATTATCTAGGACAATTGTGTTTCAAAGAAAAATCCAATTTTGAACTTAGCTGTTAAGAATGGCTTGTACAGTTCAGCGCAGTGCCAGCACTGCAGGCAGCCTGCCCCTTTGATTTCACTGTGCTAACTGGGATGGACATTTCTGCAGGCAAAGATCACTGGGGTCCATCCAACCGGTCTCCGCTGCCAGTCATAAAAGGAGAAAGTGAGCCCAGAGCTTCAGTCACCCTGGGGGGTTTTGAGCTCTGTTTGGAAAGCTTGGGCTGCCAACAGGGACTGTGGAAGGCACATCCAGGTCTGCCAGGCTGTGTCCGCCTTTATGCAGCCTCGGAACTTGCAAAACACTCATTTCATATCCCCTGAAAAAATGTTTCTCATTAAATGGGTAAGGTTTGTCTCTGTTTCTCAACTGTTCTGTCAGTGTAATAGCCTGGGAATGCTAAGCAACAAATTCAAACATCAGGCAGAACTGAGCACCTACATTGTACCTGCCTTTCTTCTATGCACAGACACATAAGTATGGACAGAAAGCATGTGGCCCATATCTGACAGTCTGTGAAAGCAGAAGCTGCTTGTTACTGCTCGTGATCCTGGTACCCAGAAGGATAAGGTTCTTCCAAATTAATGAGCACCTCAAAAAGCAAAACTGAAAACTTATTTTCAGCATGATTCTAAACATCACCCCACTCCAAATCTGAGGGGACTGCCCTATGAGTAGGATGTAGAGTGTGAGCTCTGAGCTCCCACCAGAAGTGAGAGTACAGAACATGGGGTCTTGGATGTGTGCTTATGACCACTGTGCAGAGATGATGTTTGCAGCAGCTCCCCTGCCTTCTGATGGCCGCAGAGTTACACTGCGTGAACAGTTCAGTGCAGCAGGGCAGACCACATAGCACTGCTGATCTGTGGCTGGCATGAGTAAGGAGAGATGATAAAACATACCCACACTTCATGGTAACTGTTGAGTCCCAGCCTGAGCCACTGATTGAGTGCCTGGGAAAAGGATCTGGTCAGCCCTGGGAGCACAGGTGAGGCAATTCACCTGTGACACCAGAAGGGGTGGAGCCTGGCTGTACATCTCTTAGACCTCATTTAAGGGCTGACTGCTGCTGGGAAAAGGCTTTGAATTGGAGATTCCTCCCTTGTGGAGTTTCCCTTGTGAGCCTAGATCTTCAGAGACAGGTGAGCATGTTTTCTTTGTAACACCTTTCCATCGTGCTATTCCCTTTGTCATTACACCTCTTGTATTACCACACCATTGTGTTGATAATTCTGGTTTTTACAACCACTGTGGCTGGAGACACTGGACTTGTAAAGGGAGATGGAGCAAAAGACTGGCATCTGAATGAGTAGCATTTGTTAAATGTCACCTAGCATCTTTATTCTCTCTTCCTTCAGGTAAAGCTGTCTTTTTGGCCTTAGTAGGCAAGTAGGTCTCTATCCTGTCCACTCTACAAGAACCGCACGTTTACAAAGAGCTGACACTTCTATGCCATTCCCCGTTGTGACATAAACATAAATTAAATGCCTAGTCTGCAAACTGCTGCAGCTGCCAGTCTGTTGCATGCAGCAACATTTCTTGTGTGCAGGAGCTTGTAAATGAGGCAATGAACTTGGCCTCCAAGGAAATTGAATACCAACTGCATCCCAAACAGAGGATGGCAGGAATAACACCACTAACCTACTCTCATGGTTTCTCCTGAAGTTGCATGCATTGCATGGGACAAGAGATAAAACCTCTCACCTTCATCTAACAATGGATATTGTTTCAAACTGGGAATTCATCTTAACTTCAGAGAGAGATTCATGAGCAAATGTGAACTATTTCCAGTTTGGATGTTGTGTAGTACTGTCATCTGAATTGCAATAGATGGGAAGGTATTTAATGTTTGTGTTGAAGTTATCTAAAATGGATGAAAAAATACTTTGATCCAAATAAGTGATTCTTTTTAGAAAAATAGTTATTTTTTTATTCAAGCTAATCTCTTTTCAAAAACAGTTCTGATACAGACATGTTGAATCAAAACAATGCAGTCTCCAGTGACTGCTTTTGGTTTTCCAGAGCTGCTTTGTACCCTGAAAGACCAAAGAGTTCTTCACCATGACTCCCAGCCTTCTTCAATCTCTGGATTTCTGTGTTAATGCAAGAGTGGTTTAGCACTGAATTTTAGGAACATGCAGTCTCCCATGCTGAAGTTCTCAGAAAGCATTCCTCAGCCCTGCCTAGGAAATGCATGGGCAAGCTACTTCTTTAAATAACCAACTGTGTACTCAGTTCAGAGGGGACAACACCCACACACACCTTTCCCAAAGGACGAAGTGTTCCTCTTGGTCTGAGGCCACACTGTTTTGTTGTACCCACCTGTGGGCAGACTTGCAAAACATGGTGAGCAAAAAGTCAGCCTAGCATCAAAATAAGAGTAAGAAAACACATGCTCATCAAAGCTGCTTTTTTGAGTAGAGGAACTTAGCAGAAATACTCAGTGTGTTGCATTTACGTACTTCAGAAGAAATTCTTCACAATGAGTGAAGCATCCCTGGAAGTCACCACTACGCAATGCAGCTCAAAAGGATGCAGCAATAGCTTTTCAACCACAAGCACTTTGTGAGCTTTCACCAGGCTGCTCCATTTGCAGCTGTCAGCCATTTCTATGCTGTTGAGGGGAGAGCAGAAACAGCATTACAGAATTCTGCTACTGCAGCCAGTTTTCCACTTCTGGTTAACTGGAAAATGAGCCAGATCCCATTAGGATTAGAATGGAGGGTAGTGATGGGTCAGTCCTTCTGTTTTTATGTCTCTGAGACAGTCCTTGTACAGCCAACTGCAACTTTCCACTGCATTCTCCTTCATAGTGCATCTTCATTGCTGTCAAATGTTGGGTTGCTATGGCCTCCCATATCTTCCTCTACTGATAATGCCACAGAATCTGAGAAAAAAGTTTCATTCAGAGGTGGCCAGGCTGAGTCCTGTTCTAACACCTGCTGAAGCCTTTTGTAATGGCTCTTGGAGTGGTACTGAAAAGTCATCTTCAGCAGCAGCCATAGGGCTCTGTTCTCAATGATGGCTTCCTGTAAATGCAAGAGCAAAAGGGAAATTCTGGAGGATCCAAACAGCAGCTTTTCCTCTTTACCCATAGGACGCACAACAAGAAGTAGACACTTAGATCTCCTATTCTCTCCTTCTCATCCACACTCCTTAGACAGTCTTTTACTGAGGACTCTTCTTAGTATCTCTAGCAGAGCTCTACTAAAGCCTTCTCATCTTTCTCCAGCTTGGGGCAGGGTTTGAAACACCTCATTAACCAGAGGAAAGAAAAGACAGTTGGACCTGGCATTCCTCACATCCAACCATTCGGATGTGAGAATCTGAAAACAGAGAGGAAGTGTAAAGTAGTAGCAATGGTTTCTGTTTGATGGGTTATTCCTAAAATGGACTGAGAAGGATGGAAAAAGAGTGAGAGCTGACTTTTTGTCTTTCTAGATAGTGCTGACAGGTGCATTCAGTGCAGTACACTCACCTCAACAAGAAAGGACACAGCCAGTGTGACTGCCAGCATCATCACCATGGAGATCCGCCATGTGGTGGGGGTGCAAACCAGCTGGAAGGAAAGCAGAGGCAGTAAGCAGTGTGTGCACATACTGATGTGGGTTGGAGCTGGTGTCATCAAAAGCCAGAATCCCACACTGGCTTAACACTGCTGACAAACCAATACTGCTACTTATCCTGAGGAATTATTGATAAAGAAGCGTTTATACTTATGACCCAGCAGAGAAACCAGAACTGCAGCAAGAGGTCTAAATGCTTCCTCTCTTCCTAATATCAGAAATACTTCTGGGTATTTCAAACTCCAGACTCGGTTCCAGTGTCCCATAGCTTTCAGCGCTGGGTTTCTGGCTATAGCTCAATTTATTTTGGAGATACAGCTCTGATCAACGCTCAGATCAGCAGTTGCTCCGGAGCTAGGTTACTGCAGCTTCTAATTGCCACTCCTTCCTTTTGCCTTCTCAGCAAATCCAGTGTGTTCCCTCCAGACAAACCGGATTTCCATGGTTCTCCCCAGAGGCATTTCAGCCCCGCAAACTGCACTGCTGACACTGTCCTGTGCCGCCACGGTCCACCGCAGGGCTAAGACTTGCTGCTTTAAAGTGCCATCTCGTGGCAGACTCTTTAACCGGGTCTGCCTGCTTAGCCTCTGCTCTGGATTCTGCTGTGCATTGAGGCAGCTGTAGCTGGGCTGCCTGGCATTTGAAATCCAGCTGTGTGCCCCTCATCTCTATTTGTTTCAGAATTCCAAAGCCACTTGCTAACTTTCACACAAGGATATAGGACTGAAAGCAGAATCACGTTCAGCATTTGCTATCCAAATCCAAAGCACTTCATCATCCTGATCACAAATGTACTGGAAAAAAGATAGCTGTGCATTTCTTTTGCTGTTTGTTCCTGTGGATCCTTCTACAAGGCTTTGTGACAGTCACAGTGGAGAATATCAGCATCTTCCTTATAACTTCCAGGCTTAACAAACTGACAAAACCTCTGTCCTACAGCTGATGCAGACCTTATCCTTCCCTTATATTTCTCTTAGGATGAATTTGCACAAGGTAACCCTCAGGTTGCATTCTACCAGACAAAATCAGCCAAGCCCTGCTGGTAATATTATCATGACAGATCATCTATTGCCTTAGCAGCCAGTTAGTCTTCAGAGGTGTCAAACATCCCTGCAAAAATCTGTGCCTTTTGTTAAAAACACTACTGGTGCACTTGTAATAGGACCAGCTATAGGAGGAAAATTCACAGTGGAACAATACTCACATCCATCTTAGAGTAGAGATCATCGATATCAGCGAACACCAGAAAGAGGCAAACACCCAGTTGCCCTACAAGCACAAGTATGAACACATCTGTAGAAACAAGGAAATAAAACCACAGCTGTGAGTGCACTCATCTGCTTCCCTTTACTACAGAAGTTTGAACCCATCATTTCTTGTTTCAAATAGACATGCACGCACACAAAAAAAAATTAAAAAAAAATGTCCAGGAGAGAGCAAGGATGTTCCAGCAGAAGTTTTACTTAATCAAACTGATACATAAGAGGCTGGGATGAGCCTTGAAGACATAGATCTTAAAATGCCAGAAGTGTATTTTGATCATTCGAGCTGACCTCAGAAGCCTGAACAGAGACCATTCCACTGAGTGTCAAACCAAAGTCAGCCTACTGTCACTTTTTAGCAGCACGAAATGTGGGCCCAGCCCAGAGAGTGGCACACCACAGAATGCCACTGGGACTAAAACTTCAGAAAGAAACGTCTGGTACAGGCTGCCCAGGGAGGTGACAGAGTCACCATCCCTAGGGGTGTTTAGAGAAAGGTAGATGTCACACTGAGTGACGTGGTTTAGAGCAGGCACAGGCTGATGGTTGGACTGGGTGGTCTTGGTGGTCTTTCCAAACTTAATGATTCTGTGGTTCTGTGACATTGAAAAGCTGGTCTTTAGTCATTTAGGAATCTAATAGTGAGCTCCTGCTTTATTGGCTGGCATCACTGCATCACTTCAGTCCAGTTTTAAGTCAAGTTTTCCTGAGTGAATTGACATCTGGAGCTTAATAACTCACAGATCCCTTCCGCTCTCCCCACACTTACAGTTGGTGTAGATGGGTTGCCTAAAAGGCCTTCCCTTGGAAAACACCAGTGCTATGATGAGGCAGTTGATGGTACTTAGCAGCCACACTGTGGTGTTTTCATAGCTCTTGTAGCCATTGTCCACTTCTGTAGGGTCTCCATCTCTCACGCCATGGAGGACCAGGCTGGAGGCAGAGGAAGAATTCTCTGTGTGGCTGTTCACTGAGAGGCAGGCACTGCAAAAGAGCATTGTTGGAATGGTTTGGGACCTGCAGACAGCACTGCTTACTGTAAGCAGCTGGTGGGGAATACAGGGTCTATCTGCAGCTGCTCATCCATGCTGTAGTCAAGCAGTCATTTCAGGTGAAGCTGTCTCACTAGGTGTGCCATGTTTCACCTGGAGTCCCAGGAAGGAGGCCTACCTGTGTATATCAGTCTTGGAATACCAGGGCTGCTTCTGGACCATTAGAAATCCAAAAATCTGCATGCTGAGGCTGAAGAGGATGTTAAGTATGACGGAGAGCAGCAAGGGAGGTGAGATGAGTTGGCTAGGAGGCCTGTAGGGAACCAGTTTTGGGTAGGCTTCTGTGAAACTCACTGAAACATGACAGAAACATTTACTACTGTGTCCAAAATAGCAGCAGTATTACATACAGCCTATTACATACAGACTGTTGTCAATGGCAGCATTTCTACCATTTATAATGTTCATTCTAATACTTTCAATTATTATATCGAGCACAAAATACAGTGTTATTTTCCTACAAAAGCTTATTGGCTACAGCATATGTTAATTAATAGCTTTTGACTATCTTGAGGCATTTTTGGAAAACAACTTTTAGATTCTGGTTTTATTTGGCTACTGTCAGACCGAGAAATAAAAAGATATACTCAAGCTTTCCTGTTCTCTTCCAGTCACCTGGTAGCTGTGGCTTGGGATGTTGTGTTGCCTATGTTCTGTGTTTCCTGCTGCACTAAGCACCCAGTTCCCAATTACCTGGGGAGACAGAAGATTGCACAGGCCCTTCCAACAAGTTTCCCTCTGTTGTTTCAGAAAGTTATTCAGATTTTGAGTAAGCCTCAATGTGGTTTTGCCAAATAGGGTATTTTAAACAAGGTAGCTTTCTGGTGTGACTCTTTTAGGTTTGAATTGATCAAGATCTTTTCTAGTTGTCTCTTCCAGTAGGAATGGAAGACAGTCACGTGCATTCAGTACAGGATTTTTGTGCTCCTGCACATTTCTTCTTCTAAATCTCTCTCTGCATTTGCTCTTTCTCAACATCCCTTCTCTTTCCCCTCCATTAGTGTCTTCCTCTCTCATTCTTGGCCCACAACAACCTGTTCTGTAATGCCTGACATTTTCTTCATTTGTTCCCTTGTCATTTGCGTATTGCCTCTCCTGCCTACATATCTCCAGATGTGAGCTGAACTCAGCAGTGGATCTGTTTTCCAGAACAGCAGGAAAAAGCCTTAATAAACCTTCCACTTCATTAGGTCAGTTTGCTTTTTCTCCCTGTAGAGACAACATCCCAGTTATCAACCACCTATGTGCTCAGCAGTTACAGCACTAAGAAACAACCATCTTATTTTAGAGCTTTCTCTTCTCTGACAAGATGTCTTCTCTAATAATCTAAATATCCAGTTCTTTATGCAATCTCTTTCCTTTCTTTCTGTACTTAGGACTACACATTTCCAAGGAGGTGAAAAACACATGAAATGCATTCTCCTCAAACAGAGTTTGACTCTTTGACTTACTTGTCATACCAATTACAGTGACAGTCATACCAATAACAGTTACAAAGACTAATTGACTTACTTGTCATACCAATTACAGTGGTAATAGCCAGATCTTGAAACAAAAATTGGTAATTCCCAAAGGAGTTTAGTTGCTGAAAAGAGGAATGGAAAAAAGAAAACATCACAAATCAGACATTTGCTGCGGGCTTTTTTATATCACTTCCAGAAAGCTTAGTGTTGTTTTTGGGGGGAGCTAATTCTCAGCTGCTTGCTCTGAAATTCCAAGAATACGCTACTCAGCAGATAAAGGGACCACACAATCCAGCACTGCCAATAGATTCGTCACTACTGGGCTCACAGTGAATACTCTCCTTTTGTGCATTGTTTGAACTAACGATGATTCCAGTTCACTCAATGCAATAAAAAAAAGTTCTATTTGAAGAGGCATGTCCTTTCTCAGTGCTGGGTGATTTCTGAATGTAAAGCCCTCCTCTCTAGTTGGGAAGAAGCCACATAAAAGCGGTTTAAGGCACTCTAGGGGATTTTGCTTACTGTCAAGCTAATTTATGCTTCAAATGCTGAATAAATTGCAACAGCATATGCTTATGCCAGATTCTCCCACATCTGAAATACTGTTCAACATCTCATTCTTGTTTTTGCTCAGTGTGGATCCTGAGCCCATTGGCTGGAGCTAATGGGAATAATCTTACCAGTTTTCCAGATCAGAGTGCAGAAGGACTAAATGATCACCTCAGCTCACATGAAGCTCCTTATCCTAGGGTGGTTTTTTCTGTTTGTTTGTTTTGTGGTTCTTATGCTATGTTTCTCCTACAAAGCAGAGTAGCTCATCCAGTTCTATCAAACAAGGTCCATACTCCCAAGACGTACCCAGTACAGCAGGAGAACACCAAGGTACTGAATGGTGCTATACAGAGCCATGTACTTGAACATGCAGAAGGAAGTGACCAGGGCAGCACGGCCTTCCCTGCAGGAAGATGTGAATAAAGGACACTAATTAGGTGATGGTCTGCTCTTGTTGCCAGTCCTCTCAAAATGCAATTGCAAAATAAAGTGTTTGCCACAAGGACAGAAATCTCTACCATTCTTTTCTTCTGCTCAGCTGCAGTTGCCTTCCTCCTGTGTTCTGAAGGGAAATATATCTGTCTGTATCTTAAAGGAGTTTAAGACACAAACTGACCATATGGTGATTTCAGAGTCAGATTTATTTTTCTCCAAGTATGTGCATTCTGGCTTGGTGGGAACAACAAACACTAATATTTGAAAGCAGTGGGGAATATCTCCTTCACATAACAGGAAACAAAAATCCATGCTTACCTGATGAGCTCTGGCACACATGCTATGCTGGCGGTTTGGGACGTGAAAGGTGAAGCCACCGATGCCTCCTGCTCTGACAATGATATCCCTGCATGTGCCACTTTCAAAGCCTGAAAATGCATATAGCTCCTCAGCACTCACAAGCCAGGAAGTGATGCATCAACCAAGACATGAGCCCTCATTACAGGATATGTTCTGTGAAAAGCAGCAGTCCCTCATCACTTCCTGTGTGTGCTCCACCCAAAACGTTTCTTCATTTGGATTTGGAGCAACAGGTCCAAAGCAGTAAGGGGATGACAGCATAAGAAAGACCGTTTCCTACAGACCCCAAAGCCATCAACCCCAGCTGCAGAAGGCAGGATTAGCAGTGCCTCCTTTATCAGTGCTTCTTTGGAGTCACAATTTCTGTAGATATATAGGCTCTCTACTTCCATCTCCTGGGAAAACCTTGGGGACTTTGTTTAAGTGCAAGCAACTGCTTCACTGCTGAGATGGCAGCACTCCCATCTCCTACTTGTGCTCAGTTAGCGATATCTACTGACAATGCATTCCTTTTTAAATAAATAAATTATAAGGAATTCTCACTTACCCCACAGTCATTGGCTCCATCTCCACACATGCCCACAAAGTAACTAAAAAATAAAGTGACCTACAGTTAAGTGCTGAGGAAAATGAGACCTATAGGTAGGAGGGGAGCAGAGTCTCCGCTACGCAAGTTATTTCAGTAAGTCACACCAACTTTTTTAAAAAGCCCATTTGGAAAGCTGAAAGACTGAAATACAAGCACAAGATCTCAGAATATGCATGCCCCTAGGCTAGAACCTCAGATGTCTCTCCAGTAAAGTCTTTTTGCTGTGACAGATTGAATACATTAGCATGTAGATTTGTGTTCATTACAATTGACTCAGTTTTACACTCTGAGTGTAGTAAGGTTGATTGTGACAGAGGAAGGGGTTAATGGTGATGGCCCAGCTCAGAAATGATGGATTGCACACACTGGTACTTCATGTTCACAGGGAACAGATATCACTAAGGGCTCTGCTTCGGGGACCAGACCTCCCAGTGTCTCCTAGGGCAGACAGAGAGTGACAAAGACAGCTGGAGGAGGGAAAGTGCAGGCTTAACAGGCTATCTGGGAACAGCTCCCCACCCTGCTGGTGAAAGGATGAGCCAAGACCTGTTAAACCTAGAGGTGAGTCCTTACAACAGCATCATCTATATAAAACAGTCTAGTGCTTCAAGAGCTGAATCACTTTTGTCTTCAGTTGCTGACACTTAGATTCCAGCTCAGGGAAAGTTCTCACTGTGAGGCACTGAAGGTGCTCCAGGGAAACCAGATAGTGCTCATATCAAGCAGGAACAGCTTAAGAATTACCTTGCTCTAGGGCAAGGCCTGGGACCAGGAAGTTGAGGCAGGAATCTTGACAAGCCCTTGTAATCAGTTATCAGTTAATAGGCAACGAGATACTTGGGACTCAAGGATATATATATCTGCACCTCGAAGATGGTGCACAAAGTTGTAAAAATGCAGATAGCCCTGATGTGTCTTCTAATTCATCAAATGCACTAAAAAGACTGTTAGCAACAGAAAAGCTGAATTGCTTGGAGACATTTCAAAAATTCTTGGGTATACAGGTGCTCCTGCTTCAGACACAGAACAAGAAATAAGAATGAAGAATGGAATTAGCAAAGAAAACTCAGAATTATGAGACTGTTAGGTCTTTGATGGGTTGTAAAAACAACATTAATTTCAGTGTCTCTTCTTCAACAGGCTTGTGGAACTTAATTTCCTGGCTGTGCTTCTGTAGAAGCTTCAGTTTTTGCACTTTTAGGAAAAAATATATTAGAGAAAAGCTAACTTTTATTAGACTCTTCTGAAGTTTGGAAATTCCTCAGACATTTCGTAACTCGGTGCTTACAAGAACTTACTCCAGCTTTTGAAACTCCTCCACAAGGCTGGATTTCTGACTGGGAGACATTCTGGCAAAAACTGTTGCATTTAGCAGGAGCTGTCAGGAGAAAAAAAAAGAAAAAGAAAAAGGGTGTTTTAAGCAGTTGGTATAAGAGTCACAGTGATTTCAGTGATAAACTGGAATAGAAACAACCCAAAAGTCACATTTCCAAACAGCTGCTTCCAGATCCCAAGGCAAGTAAGACTGAGGATCAAAGATAAAGTGTATATTCATTTTGACAAAAAATGTGATCGCAATTAAGACATAAGGTCCATAAGGTGTGTTGTTTGTAAGATGAACAAGTGTGTAGCAGAAATGCTGAGTCATGGCTGAAGCAGTGATTGAGCACCTGGGGGGAAGGCAGGGCCAACCCAGAGGGGCTCAGGTGCATGCAATGTACCTGAGTGACGAAAAGGGGCGAAGCCAGGATGCACCCCTTCTCAGATCTCATTAAAGGGCTGGCAGTGGAGGTAAGGGTGTCTTCTGGAGATTCTTGCCTGCCTGAGACCTTTTAAAGGCAAGTAGTTGTTTTTTTTTTTTTTTTTTTTTCTCCTTTCTTCTTTCCTTTGTTTCTACATCTGCTGTATTTGGGCTCCTTCTTATTTGCTACTTCTAAAGACTTTGCCACCTCTCTGTTATTGTTGTACTTTCCATACATTATAGCATTACAGTGTATTACTAAAGAGGGATTTACTGGAAGAGAATTAATGTGATTATCTTCTTCATAAAACAGATAAATCATTCCTAATCTCAGGTTGTGTAATACCACACTTTAACCCGTTCCTCAAAGCATGAGAGAAGTAGGGCTGTGCAAAAGGTGGTCTTATGGTCACAAATGCTTTAAGTCATGTTCTCATATGCTATGATACTGCTCTGCTCTCTCATGCTGGAAATAACATTAGAGCTTTTCAGTCAGTTCCACCGTACAATTGCATCAGACGTTTACCTAGCCCATGAGTATTTCAGAGTTCAAGTTTTTCCCAAGGAATTCCTGGTGCAGATCTCTTTAGCTAATTACATCAGGACAATCTAAATCTACTGACTGGAAGGCCTACTCCAACTAAATAATCCACATCTTACCTTTGGAAGCAAGTGGCTGAAATGCTGTGCTACAATTTGGTAAGATTTTCCACTCATGGCAAAATGGAACTGGTCTGATTCCACTGCCAACCTAATTCTTCCAGTCTGACTGTCACTGTCCTGAAGAAGAAGGAAAAACAACTGAGAATGAGTGCTGTTTCCAAGCCCTCAAAAACTTTTGCAGACAAAGAAAAGGATATCCACAGAGGGGGCACTTGTGAAGACCCTTGGAGGCCTGGTTTAGTCCATGCTTTAGTTTTGCATGTATGGGGAAGTACTAACTCTACCTGTTCAAACAGGGCTTGTTCATTCAGTGCAGTTACGCAGATTTCAAGTCTGCATAATATGTTATGCTATCAAACTTACTTTGCAGGAAAGCATGCTTGAAAATGGCACCAGCTATGTGTGAGGGCTGCATGCACATCTTCCATGTGTTACACTGTGAAGCTGTTCTCAAACCTAATCCAAGTAGTTAGCCAAAATATCATTCACAAGATAATATGTTAGGAAGGAAGCTATAGGATAGTACTTTGCATTATTACAAGCATTCCATCACTGTTTGTTTTCCTGCTGCGTCATTTATTTTACTCTCACCGGGTTTCCATAATCTTCAGTTTTATTTTCTTCTAGTGGTTTCCATGTTACAGATGCTGAAAAAGATCCAGGTATTTTGTTTGCTTCCACAAGAATGACTCTGTTTGTTGGAGGAATCATCCCAGCGTTCTTTGCAACAGTTACAGCTGTCTGAATGTTATCACCTAGAAAAAAAATTTCAAATGTATCCACAGGTGACAATAAGATTGCAGTATCAGTGCATAAGGAGGCTTTAGATAAAGATGAGAACTTTGCAAGTGAGGTCTGTCTCAATAGATACATATTTAATCTGGCCTAAGCTTGAAGAAACATAACTACAGAATGTGCTCCTAGTTTCTGTGTTTGCATTGGGGGGGGGGGGGGGGGAGAGTATCATTGCTTCACAGTAATTGCCCTTAGACGGCTTGGATGTGAGTTTGATATGGGAAGGGGTGAAGCCCAGGAAGATCTGTGTGATTTCCAGAAAAATGTGTTTAGATCACATTAAAACTGAGATTTATCCTTTCCAAATCCAAACTAATTCTTCAAGAGGGAAAAAAGTGATAAATAGGGATCTGTAGGCATGAATTAGCAGATATCACATGGCTCAGTGATTTGTTCTAGCATCAGTGATCCGTTTTCATCATGACGTGCTTTCATGCATGTCACCTGATAAACTTAGTAGAGAGAACAAATGGGCTCACTGGAAAGCATCAGAAGATTCTGGTACAAGAGGGACAGACTATCAGGTATCTGACACTGCCTGGTGAAATTGTTAGAGACATAAGCCTGCATGGTTCAACTCAAGTGATTGTTACAGAACAGGTACTTCTTGGTCTGCAATTGTCTGAAGGACACAAATGCCTGTGCCTTCTTACTGGTGCTGGAGACAAAGCAGCAGACTGCTCGATCACTCGCACGTGGCTGAATTCCCTGTCTGCACTATCAGCTGTCAAAACAATCCATCTCATTTTGATACCTGTGACCATCACGCTCCTGATGTGGGCAGCACTGAGCTCTTCCAGGACAGGCTTTGTATCTCTCTTCAGTCGATTCTCCATTATCAGTAGACCCAGGAATGTCAAATCAGATTCCACCTCCTCCCTTAAGTGAAGATAAGATGGGAAGATTTAATTCCTTTTTTTCCCCTTACTTTGCATTTATACTGAATTTGCTGATAGCCATTTGTTAGTGTTAATCATCCAATCTAATTCAAAGGATGTTAATAACTTGTTAGTTTTTAACAGTCTGAGGCTTTCTGGTTTTTGAGGTGCTATTTCAAGACCATCTGGGATTGCATTCCACCAGCAGTGAGAGGGGTCAGTTGAATATGGAGGATCTTCAGTTTGTCTTTTTCTGAAGAAACAGTTCAGTACATAGGCAGCTTTCAGATCACGTTTGTTTAATTATTACCAAAGGAAAAAAAAAGACCACACCATTTTGGAGCTATCCTCTCCACATACAAAAATCAAGCCTGAAGGGTAAGTTGGATTGCTTTCTATTTGTGCACAGGGATTTTCCAACTCTGCTTTTTTTCCTATTCTTTACACCTGTGCTACTGCCACTTTTACAACTGCAGTTGAGCACAGAATTTGGGAAACAGTGTCTTGTCTTTTTTCTTTCCTGGTAGTGTATACTTCATCCAAATATAACTGCACACACAGTTACAAAATCTGGGCCATATTGTACACGTTTGCCTGCTGGGTTGGATAGGTTTGTTATGATGCTTGTGACAAGAAGCTAAAGAACAGTTTGCTCTTTGCCTCCATGCCACTGAGCCCTCTCAGCAAAGTAAAAAACCCTGTGAAAGAGCAAGTGAACTTCATCTGAATTAGGACCTGCTTATAGTAAACAGGGCAACAAATGTGCAAAGTAATTGCAACTGTTTCACAAGTGATGTTTCAGGAGTATCACAGGCAAGAACAAGAGGGTATTTCTAAGAGCCTATGGACTCATGTGCGGGCATACTTCAGTGAGATTGGTGGGAAAACTAATTCCATGAGAATAGCAGAAGGGTTTTCTGGCTTTTCTAGAAGTTAAAGAAAACCAAAGCTGTAATGCTAAAGAAGGCACAGACCAAGATTACAGGAGAAGATATTCTGCTGACTTTCTCTGGGTTAGAGAATAGGTAGTGTAATGGGGGTCATCTGCTGCCTTTGCTTAACCAAGAAGCCAGGATAAAAACTTAAAAAACAAACAAACACATTTGACTGAAATCCTTGATAAATATAATGGAGAGTGGTAGAAATTATGGGCTGAGGTAGGAGTTTACTAAACTGCAGTTTTTGCTAGAGTTGAATCATGTGTTGATCCATTGCTAAGAAACACGTAAAGATTATAGGTATGTGCTACAGGTATTGGGTAGCAATATCCACTCTACCCACTCTCAGACCCATATCCAGATTTAAACAGATTCTCTTTAGCCTGCATCTAGCAAGCCCACCTATGCTACAGCCCTGGTCTTGGTAAAGGCCTTGGGGTAATGATATAATGTGAGGCTTATGGCTGAATGTGGCTGATAAGAAGCTATTTGTTGCTTACCTTGTTAGATCAGTAGATTGCTTTGCCAACTGTAGAGATTTATATGCCAGTCCAATCACCCTAAAGCCTTGTGCTGTGTAGAACAGAAGCTTGCTTTCAAAGTTCAATGGGACTGTCCAAAACAGGAAAAGACAGCTCATCATAACATTTGGCTGTTTGTTTTATAGAAGAGGGATGGTCTTAGGAAACTTCTCTAAAGCATTTGTCTTAGAGGAGATGTATACTTAGAGTTCTAATAGGCCTTGGGCATGAAGGAGAGCTGCTACAATGAATTTTGTTCAATAAGAAAATCATTGCCAATCCTCTGCCAATCTCCACTGAGGATCTTAAACTATTCTGCATAGATTTATCTTACTCTAGTTTATTGTAAAGGAGCTGTGCTCTTCCAGCTGTTCACTCAAGGCTTGAAGAGAAAATAAAATGTTTTCTGGTACATAGTGGATAACTCAAATACTAATTGTAGTAGAAACTGAATGCCTTGTACAATAATTGGTACTTCTGTCTGCAAGCAGTACTTCTTTGCTGAGAAGGGCTGTATGAAAAGTTAGCCTTAGACTGGAAGCACGATCAACATTTCAGGCTGAGATGAAAGTGCTTAGACTCAGAAATCTCATTAGGACCTTACACTACAATGCATTACCAAACTCATATCTATGTGTTTCTAGGAAGCATTTAAAATGTTGGTTACCTGTTTCTGCTCTGCACAACACAGCTACCATTTCTGGAGCACCTTTTGTGAAGGCCTGTTTTTCCCCACCAATTTCCTGAGCAATGACAGACATTCTCTGCAAAGCTGAAGAAAATGGAAACTGGTGTAAAATGGTAATTCCTTCCACAGGGGCCTAGGAGAGAAGTAAAGGGATTAGATACTGCAAAGATCTTAAGCTCAAGCCAAAGCAGTTGAGTCCCCTGAGCCGTGCTGAGAAGATAACAATATGTAATGCACTGATTTATTTTTTTTTTCATAGTGGGGCAGAACGGACTCATGAAATTTGCACAGCGATATTTTGTTCAAGCAATGTGGAGTTCTCTGACAGTTTTTAGCAGGCTATTTGATACAATTCACTGAAAAGAACTCACCAGTCCTATTTGTTTAACAAGACTGCTACATTTTATACTAGTCTGTTTTTCCTTTGCGAGATATTTGAAAGCTTTCACACCAGCAGAAATCTGATCAGCTTCTGGAGTCACCTGCAGCCCCAAGCACTCTAGAGATGATCGCCACTTGGCTCATCCTGAACTGAGTCTGGAGCCACCAGGGGAGGTAAATTGTTGGGCTGGACAGTCTGCTATCTAGCAATCCCCTGCTCACATCCTTTTTCTGTTCTGAGCAGCAAGCTCCCTCTGGCAACTATTTTTTCATCACAAAGAGTATGATGATCTCCCTGCATGCAATCCAAGTGAGAACAAGTGTGGAAGAGTTGTCTTGGACTAGAACAATCAAACATTTCTCTATTAAGAGGTAACTCTCACGTTAACAGTTTAACTAACAGATGTGAACCTTGCAGATAGCTTACACAGTTGGCTTTAAGTCCAGGTCTAATAACTGTGGCATGTGTAGATCTTTGACCTTCAGTCTGGTGTCCACTGGAATCATCTATCACCTGTGTTTTGAAAGACAAAAGTATTTGAGGTTACAACATCAGTATAGCTGAAAGAAGCTCAGTGGATCACTTGGTGCATTTTGTTCCCTCAAAACGAGGTATCTTAGTCATTACTGCCCTCACACTAAGAAACTCCAGTAGAGAGAACTCACTGCTTCCTTGGCAAACAAATTCAGTTGTTCATCAGCTTCATGAAGATACTGCTGTACTCTCGCATGGCAAATAGGCTGTGCTATCTCCCAGACTAATCCTTTGTCCATCACAATACATTCAAATGCACAAAAGCATTTTTTCTTAACTTTAGCCTCAGTAGAAATCTAATAAGTTTTTTAATGTAGGAAGCATCATTTTCTACTCTTGATGTCTTCCATGAGTCAGCTGTTTTTTAATCATCACAGTGTGACTCTGAGAATATTTTATGCTGCCAAAGGGCATGAAATTATTCTTCTTTCAGGTAATTTTTTCTGCCTAAGTCTGAAGTGGTGAATTGATGCCCCTGGGGAAAAAAAAATACTTTCTAACTCCTGTCATTACTGGATAGTTTTTTTTCCTTGAAACTTGGGCATCTTATGTATTTTGCAGATAAAAACAGACAGGCCTTAAGTATGGATGTTGTCACCCACATAATTAGCTAACCTGGCCCTGAATCTTGCCTTGTACCAGCAACAGCTTGTGGCTGTATCTTTCACTAGATAACTATTGGTCCTAATTCTCTTACCTATCTCAGAATTGCAGTCTCTCATTTTTTTTGTAAATGCTCAATATTCCTCAATTAATCAGATGCTAAGAAGGGCCACTAACAGCATCTGTACATAATAGGGCATAAAGGGAATGAAAGCAGAGTGCTTTGATATCTATTAGTTTTGTTCTGTTCTCATTACTCTGCAAGTGTAGTAGTATTTCCCACATGCGAGGCCTTCTATCATCCTTAGGTTTGAAATCCCATGCTCATATGAAACATCTCCAGAATGACAAAGCTCTACCAAACATTGAATTTTTGTGGCCAGTTCAAAGTGGCAGAAATAGTTGCATGCCAGTCCACATCTGTATACAAGTTATAGCTAGGGCTTCTTGCCATCCGGTAGTAGCCACAGTCAGAGTTGACACCTCAATAGGATTTGTATGATATCCACCACTCAGCCAAATGCTCTGAATACTCAATGTACTCCAGTTTGGAAGCTTTGGACAGAAAGAGCATTTCTCTAAAAGCCTAAGAATGTGGTATCCCTTCTGGCTGTTTTACTTATGTTCAGACAGTGACTGTTTGCATGGAAGGCTTTGGGATGTTTCTCCTTTGCAAGAAAATATCAAAACTTTATATCATTATTTGCATAACAACAAATCACAATTTACCCAATTAGTTGCCTCAAACATTTTCACATCCAGTGGGTCTCCTTGGATCCTGCCCTCCAGAACAATTAATGAATGGCAAACAACCATTGCACTGAACGCTGGGCCCCAAGGCAGGCTGTGGTCTGCAGGGAACCTGTGAACATCCTGAAAGCTAACACAGAAGAAACTATGAAAACAATCTGGAAACACCAAACGCATATGTCTAACAGAAAAAAATGTCGTAAGTTAATAGGATGAGAGGAAGTGGCAGGAAAGGTTCAAGTGAGATGTTAGGAAAAAATTCTTCTGGAGAGTGGTGACGAACTGGCAGAGGCTGCCCGGGGAGGTGATGGAGTCAGCATTCCTGGAGGTGTTTAAGAAATGTGGAGGTATGGTACTAAGAAACATGGGCTAGAGGGCAAAGTTTCTCGTGGGTGGATGGTTGGGCTAGATGATCTTAGAGGTCTTTTCCAAACTATATGATTCTATGTAAGGAGACTGTTAATGTGACTGTTAAAGTCTCATCCTGTGGCCAGGCATCAAGCGTGTTTCTGTAGATTTGTCCTCTCCCAGGAGCTATTTCTTGTGCACATCCTTGGATGGAATACACATACTCAGAATAAGTGTATTCTATGCATTTAATAGTCCATTGGGATATACATCAGATTATGAAATATGTTACTTGGGGATTTTGCAAGGATTCAAACTGGGAGGCTGATACAAGCCTGGGCATCTTTGTGCATTCACAGTTCTGGAAATGTAAATGGGCAGAAATATTGGCACTGTAGTCTCATGAGTTACGGTAATTTCCTGTTGTAAATGGTGAGGGCACTCCTGCTACTCTGAAATCTAACCTAGGCAGAATTCCCTGCCTGCAGGTGCACAGGACCTGGAATGAGACAAAAAACATATTCTCCAAACAATACAGGAATTCCAGTAGATATCTAAACAAGGGGAAATTTTCATTAGTTTTGACATGAACATGTTTTTCAGATTTGTTTGTATGTGTTGGAGGAGTGTCTGGTCACTATCCCACAAATTTAAATCCCATTAGTCAACAAAGAGCCTTACCAGTTTCCTTCAGAGGGCAGCAAGCCCCAGAGATCCAGGCCATCTTCTGTTAAGGTGCCAGTCTACATTAGAATATACGTTTAAATTAACTTTGCACATTTAGATTTACATGAGGAATAAAAAGTAAGACATATTTCAAGAAGCTGCTGTTTAGAAAATGTCAGTACAGTGCAGAGAAAAAGTACTACCAGATACTTCCTAGGTTCAAAACAAAAAACAACAACATACAACAATGTACATTCAGACAAACGTAAGGATGAAAGACTGGTCCATGTGTTTCTAAAATACAATGGAAATGCTTGACCACATTCTCCCACCCCAAGCATTGCTCCCATTGCAAGTGCAGGAGTGACTAGTACAGAGGAGTTACTTTGTCAAAGCAGATGAGGTTCAGCTGTCCACACATATTGATTCTTTGTGGGCTGATGCAGAAGATGCCCTTTTTCTTCAGCCTCCTCTGGGTGTAAATGATTCCTGTTGTCAAGGCAGCTGGTAGGGCTGGGGGGACAGCAATAGTGATAACGTCCAATGCTTTCTTCACTACTTCTCCTGCCTCCTCCTGATGTAAAACCAAAGGCAGTTATCAGCAAGATGATGTCCTGTTTGGATTACCTGAGAATAGCCCTCTTTATCTCTCCTCCTCTGCATGGTAGATGCTTCATGCTGTTAGTTTTTTTTTTTTTTTTGTCTGTGGTAAAAAATGAATTGCTTTGATTTAACCAAAGGGCCTAAGGCTACACCACTGCTAAAGAGCCTTCTCTGTACCAACAAACCTGCAAAGCACATGAATGAGCTCAAACATGCCAGGATAGGTTATTACACCTTCAGTGGAGTGTAGCTCACTATCATGAAGCACAAAAGAATCTGCTACTGCCATGAGCATTCATCCAACAATGTAGCTACAAATCCTACAAATGTAGCTCTGGGCTTCATATCAGGGTGACAGATTAGACATATGGGAAAATGCTAAACAGGATGTCCTTTATGTGAAGGAAAACACATAGAAATAAAAGTTACACTTCTAAAAGTAATCTCTAATTAAAAAGTTAAGAAGTTGGTGTAAAGATAGCTACATGTACACTGAATGTTGGCATTCTTATTCTTGGCAGTCATTATCACTACTAAAGGATTGAATGCATTTCAAATTGGGTCCTAGGACAGGGGCACTGCAAACTAAAGCCAATCTGCAGTTTGGATGGATCTGAAAGCCATCACTAGAGTTCTGTTTTTACCACTTCTAAGCCTGGAGATTTGACCACAAACCATGCTGCCATGCTGGTTTTGACACACTGAATTTTCATCAGTTTTTCGTTCTCCCTTCTTTGATTCTATTTCAGACCACAGAAGTTCCATTTTGATACTGTTTTCAATTACCATGATAACATCAGCATGCATTTCATGTATTGCAACAAGGGAGGAGGGCTGTTTAAGAAGAAAAATAAAAGAAGAAACTTGGCAAAGCAGATACCACAGAGCAAATTCATGCCTAATAAACCTAACGAACTCTGGAAAAAAAATAAGTGGAGATGTGGGTGAGTGACTTAACTGATACATGGCTTTTCAAAAGTTATTTCCCAAAAGCTATACTTACATAGCAATAACTAAGTGGAGGTTCCCCCACCACACAAATAACTATACAAGGATAAGACAAAAGGGGCAGAAGAAAATAGGGAGTTTTTTATAGTGTCAGTAAAATTTGAGGATCTGTGTCTGTACCTGTATTGTTTAGGGCTCTGCAAGAAGCAGAAGGGAGAAAAGTGGCTGAAGGGGTGCGTGTGTGTAAAGTGCTCATACCAGATATGCTAGGAACTCTGGGGAAATGAAAATGGTGACACAGTGGGTTTGGACACCTTGGAATTGAATATCTAAGATTTTATGGTGTCACAAATATAATTTCATTGCAAAATGGCCACACACACTAAGGCAAAGAGAATTCTAAAATCATACTTGTCATATAAAAGTGCATAGGAAACCACTGAAGTTTCAAGACTCTTGAAGGTGCGTATGACTATTTCTCCTGCATTTAGTAACTCACCCCATTGAGTGCAAATACACACACTGTGTAGATCATTCCAATGGTTGCAAATGCTATGAGGCACATCAGGAACCGGAGGGCATCTCTGTACAACTTGAAGTTCACTGGTTTAGGGTAGAGAATGGACCTCACCAGATCTCCTTTGGCTGTATTGAAACCTGAAAAGATAAATTAAGATCATTACATGGGGAAGTCACTTCCAAAAGTTCTCTAAGAAAAAAATAGAAGGCTTTGAAATAGAATTGAAATAACTTATGAAAGAAGGCCAAGATCTTTCATTTTATAGTATGTGAGATAATATACAGAATATAGAAAAAGAACTGTCTTAAGCAGATTTTTTTCAACAAAAAAGCAAAGCTCAAAGCAAAGAGAAATTGTTCTTTTTAATCATATGCTAGTGGGTTTTTTAAGAGGTATGCCAAACATATCATATCTGCATATCTAGCATATCTGGTATGCATAATAGTTTAGTCCAGATGGGGATATTGATTGTGAACTTTGATTAATTCCTTTAGTGTAAGGTACACCAGAGAACTTTAATTCAGACTCTGGAGACCTCTAAGTCATGTTGCAATAAGAAAAAGCATGAAAGGAAAAACAAACCGATGTGCTGACTGACCAGTCTGCAGCACTACAGCTTTCACTACTCCTCTGTCATCTCCCTTGGTCTGTATGACCTCTGTTCCACAGAAGAGGATGTGTTTTTTGTAATCCTCTGCACAGTGAACTCTCCAGGGCTTCAGGTTATCAGCTTGGGGTAACTGGGTCTTTGTAACTGGAATACTTTCTCCTAGGAAAGATGAACTCAGATGAGGAAAACTGCAGTATGCCTTAAAATCAACCTGCTGACAGTAAAGTATCTAGACAGAAAGTAAAGGTACTTCTTAGAGAAACCAGTGTAGAGGGATGTTAAATTGATATCATTACATCTTCAAAATGAATAGGAGTTAGAGCCTAGCAGAAAAGAACAGATTCTGCCAGAGAAAAACTCCCCTTTGCACTGGTACAGCAGCTTCTTGCACAACAGCTCCTTGTATGTCTGAGAACTGAAAACAGTCCAAGGACTCTGAACTACAGCAGTATATACAGAAACCTGAACAGAAACTTTAAGTGGTATTGTATGACTCCAATTGATAGCCACAAGTTGTTCACATAGCTTGAACTTTGTGTGCAGGTCACTACACTATTACCTCAGGCAGATTGAATGTGGCATTACCTGATTCCTGCTTGAGAGCCAGTTAAGTATCCTGTGTATGTCAGAGCAGGTACGCTCAGGTAAAGCAGCAGAAATACTTTCACTGAATATCTGGTCGCTGAGGCTTTCTAAATAAAAGGAGCTTCTGAATTTCTCAATTACATGAGATTTCAGAATGGTTGGTTTGAGTTCAGCTCAGACTTAGACCAAATTTAAAGATGAGAAACAGAAACACGAACATCTGCTCCAAAAATCCTTTTTCTACAATGAATTCACCCACTTCATGTCCCCCCCACTACTATCACATGAGAAGGGGATTAATTCAATGTAGAGCTGCACAGACACTTCTCCTGGTTAGAGACATTGCAGCGATTATGATGAAATATTCAGTGAATGAGAAAAATCCCTACAGACCAAATGGACTCTGTGCTCTGTGTGGGAACAGCTTTGTTCCATAACTACTGTTTCTTCTCCTGCCCCACTCATTCCACTTCCCTTTCTAGTTAGAGGATCGCTTCCTAAATGTTGCACCCCAGAAAGAAAAAAAATGAACAGCTCTTCCCAATAAGTAGCTTCACATCAGGTACTTAATAAACTGGGGCTAGCTACTATTCAGTCCTTTTTATAGCAAACTTTCCAAAGAATGCCCTTCTAGGCTAACTATGAACTATCCCACAATGAGGATGATAGATATATGATTATGCTGTATGTCCTGTGCCACTTGCTGAAACACCATGATGATGTTTTAACAGTGAATCTGGAAGGAACAAGCTGTACCTGTCAGCATGCTTTCATTTACAATGCACTGGCCACTGATCAAGATGGCATCACAAGGCAAGAGGGCTTTGCCCTCCTTCAAAACCATCATGTCTCCAGGAACAAGATGATGTGATTCCAGCTCTTGGAAACCTGTAGGTGACATGCAATGAAATCTTTGTGCTTCACATATTTCTCCCTGTTAAGGGTAAGAATACAAGGAAGCTGAATATATCATTATTACTTCTTTATAAAAGCTGATAAAAAAGGAGGGCAAGTAGGACCTAAGAATACAATATCCCTTATCAAGAAAAGTCTCGGTATCAGTTCAAATTGCAGAATACTTTATCTCAACTAACAATTATTACTCCAGTGTACTGACCTGACTGAAGAAGTTTAGATCTACATTTCTTAGTTTGACTCCCTTTTTTTGAATTCTACAAATACCATGACGATGAACAGACTTTGAAAGCAACAATTAGGTGGACTCATACTCATTAAATTGTTATGTGGTTGGCTTCACCAGCACTACTTTAAGAAAAATGACATTGTTCTTCTTGGTAATTTTTTTTTTTTTTTTTTATTTTTTGGTAAGACTGTGCTCATACAACCATGAATATGATTGATGTGCCACAACATACTTCTGGGTAAAACCAAACCAATCTGCAAATGGTAGTTAAAAAAGCTTACAGACAATAGAGGCAACTGCTCTGGAAGGAATTTGATGCTATGCATTCTCAGATTCAATATAAGTAGCTTCTGAAATGAAATGCATTAAGGAAAGAAGTATACACAAGTTACCTTCCTTATTCCTGCAGACAGTGACCATGATGTTGTTATGAGACTCAACCAGTCTTTGCAGTTTAACCGATTGCTATAAATTAAAGGCGAACATAGAAAAGTGTTACATCTTATGTGATGCAATTCATCCACTAACTATTCCCTTCTGTTATTTGTGGTTATGAGAGCCTTCATAAACTGGGGTCTGTCCCTGCCAGGAACTGTACAATCATACAGAAAAAGAAGCTCCCCACCTTAATTGTGGAGACGATGCAACAAAAGGTTACAAAGCAAAGCACTGGAATGGGGAAGGGAGGATGTGGTTAAAGTACCACACAGAGCTTATTATGACTAGGAGGCCAAGCCACTGCACCGGCTAAAGCTTTGAGTAACTCTCAGAGCCCAGTACATGTGCTTGTTGCAACATCCTGGGCTTTCCTAGATACTAGAAATAAGACCTCCTTGTGGAGAAAGGTGGGATGTCTCACCTACCTGCCTAAGATCATATACAGTCAAAGAAATTGAGAGGAGAGACATGACTATGATGGCAGCAGCATACTCCATGTAGTCTTCAGCAAACCACAGACACACACTGAACAACTGGAATACGTAAAAAGGATTTAAGACCTGTTTGGAGAGAAAGAATTACTCAAGACTTGGCCATATCTAGATGGCTCCAGTATTCCCAGACAGCACATCTTGTTAGAAATAGGTTGAAATAAAAGCTATGGAATGAATTGTTATCTCTCCCCACAGTCTTTCTGATTTTGTGAGCAGTGGCCCAGCCTAATCAATCTGGCCCATCTCCATGGAACAAAAGTGCCAAATAATCAGGGACAATAGGGATATTATTTGCCATATGAATGGCTCAATCCAATCAACCCAATCTTTGTTTTGCTTTGTTCTTTACAAGAAGCTGAGATCAGGCTGTGAAGTGAGCAGGGTGCTTGCACACTGTGAGTAATACATCACCACAAACACTCTGCTTAGGCCATGCATGTATCCAGTTGTAGTCAAAAAAGTATACTGGCACTTTACACATTGCTGTGTAGCTACAGGCATATGCCAGCTAGTGCTGTTCATGTCATCTCTGCTGATTCAGAGATAGCCTTTACCTGGAAGATTTGATTTCCAATGCAGCTTGTAAACATTCACTGACCCTTATAAGGCCAACAGAATGAGCTCCCAGGACACAGACACAAGCAAACAGTAAGCTGCTACACAAGTGTGGGGGTAGTGCATACAGAACAATGGAGAAGAAATGAATTTATGATGATTTCACAAATAGGATTTGAAAAAATTGGGTGCTTGGTAGGTGAGAACTGAGAAACTAACAAGACACAGAGTCCATCATATTCTACGTGTATACTCTGCCTTCCAAAATAGCCTTAAGAGTAAAATTGACAGAAATGCTGAACCTCTTTGATGAGTAGTTTCCAAATAGGGATCACTGGAACATCAATAGTGTTTGGCCCACATATCACTCTCCTGTATGGGATAAAGATACATCATTTACAGGTAAAGTTGTGACTATATCTCAAGAAGCTGCAGCTGCTAATAGTCCCAAAGGCTTGTATTAATCCCAATTTAAAATCTGTGAGGATGTTTCTCCAAGAAAAAAAAAGTTTAAAAAATATCCTTTACAGTGCTTATGTCAGAAAAGATGAATTTACCAGTGAAATCAACTCAAACCAAGAGCCAAGAAATGTAACACAGCCAATTCAACACAAGTTCAATACAACTACATGGAGTCCCACTGAAGAAGCACACAAACAACTTATCTACACCATCCCCCGAAGCCTTTCTGCTACTCCGAGCAAGAACAGCTCAGAGTTAGTTACAAAGCATAGTTATTTCTTGATTGAGAAGAGTAACAGTGATGAATACTCAAAGGCATTTCAAACCCTTGACAAGGAACACACAACATACTAGCATTTTTAATTCAATTTTTCAAGCATGGCCACTTCATCTAAAATTATGTGCATATTAATGTATGCAAAAGAAGCTCAAGAACAGTGCACCAAGAACAATGAATTTTAATCTCTTTGAAATCCATATGCTGAGTACTCAGAGTGTTTTATGAGTGTGCTCATACATACCTGAGACTCTGTTCATTGCAGGTAAGACCAGAACCAAATTTGGTGTGTATAGCTGAACAAGTGTGGTAGTCTTCTAGGGCTCTAAAATATAAATAGTATGTTTTCCTCAAGACATCAGTCCCAAAATGTTTGACTTCCTCGGAATCTTGTGTAATCATTCTATGGAACTCACCCAACTTTCTGGAACTGCTTTGCATAGATATTCCAGAGATAGCGGATTTTTTGTACTTGGATACTTTTCACCTGCAAAATAAAGCAGAGGCAGCAAGAGCTGCAGCACAGCAAACAACGATTCTCACAGGCCTGCTCAGACATTCCAATGGATGAGAAAGGCTCTTTCAGGAAGGCTTCTGAGACACTGTTAATGCTTAGCCCTTGCAGAGCTGTTATCTGTGAGGAATGCTTGCTATCATTTATGACATGCAAAGGAGAATGTCCTGCCCTGTGCAATAATTATGAAGCCTGTTAAAGATAATGGTGTTTCATACCAGCTGGAAGAAAGTAATGCACCTACGCACATAAGAAAGCAGCTTTAGAAGACTCTCCCTATCCAGGGAATTAAGACAATTAAATTTATAGTGAACCCATACCCTGATGCAAAATGGAGCTATAACCAGTCATTAACCTAACAAGAGGTCTGTAGCTAGGTGCATGTAAAGGAGTTTCAATATTGAAATGCTAAAAACCAGACAGGGAAATGAGACAACTTGCTGCAGCAGTATTCCTTGGGTAGCTCTCGGGCATTACACAGTACTCTGTGGAATTAAGTAGCTTAAAAGGCAATAAGGCTTTATAGACAACATGTAAGTAAAGGCTTTTGAATTGTTAGTGAAATATTGAACTGTTTGCTTTTTGCTTCTTGAAATCTCTTCTCTCCTACCTAGATGTTTTGACTCATGTGAGTGTTGCTCAAAGGGTCTATTATTTAGGGGCTGTATTGTTTTGTTTTGTTTTTTCTATGTTGCTAATTCGATCCTCTGAAGAATGTTACAAATCAGTCCTCACTTTCATACTGTGCCAGCTGATTAAAGTAGCTGGCACTAAAATTTTGTATGTATGTTAAGATATGCTCACACAAAACAGCAAAAAAGGCAATAGCTTTGCTCAGCTGAACTTATGTTTGTAATGAAAATTTCTCATGAAATAAATTATTATAGATACAAAAATAAATGCTCACAAGTTAGAAATCTATTTCTTGGAAGGGCATACAGCTCTTTTATGGGCTACCAAGTGCAAAGATCTAGTGTCTATATGCTATCTGTTACTTGTTCTGAAACTGAGTTAATTGTGTTTACTGAAATCATGGAGGATCACATGATCTGCTTGGATCTATTAATCTTCTACCTTCTTCCACTGCCTCACTGGCATCTCCAAGCTCTGGAATTGTAAGAGGTCAGGATACCTTTTTGCAAGAACAGTGGACAGATCAAGACCAGACTCCAACAAATACACATTAAAGCACAAGTCCATGCAGCAGCAGGTCTCTTAGCTGAGTATGTTTCACAGCTCACTTCCACCCCACAAAGCCCTTTTGAGATTTCCTACATCTCCCAGATGCTGCAGGCAATAACTGACTTACCTGTAAACTTGGCTTCATTAAGGCTTCGTAGAAGATTGAATCTTCCTCAGCAGTGCTTGGATAATCCAACCTACTTCTGATAATTCCAGACACAGAGATCCATGTCACATGCTTACGTGAATAAATCTGAAATTCATCCTAAACAAATACAAAAACAGCACAATTTCCCTCAAGATCAGACCAAACTCATTATCACTATAAAGTGAATGATTACTGTAGGCTTTTCTAGGGAATTGCTCAACTTTTTTTAAAGAACTATCCAACAGAATCCTTCCAGCACCTGTGATTGATAGATAAATCAGCAGAATGGGAGCAGAACCACAGTCCTTTCAAAATGCAAGTACTACAAAGTAATTCACTGAGCAGAGGTCTGTTGCTTGGCTGATAAGGATGGAATGTGAACACTTAGGTCATGATCAATGAACAGGCAAATAGTATGGGACAATCTGAGATGTAGTGATCGTACTGTAAAGAAAACATCAAAAAGCATGTAGTTGTGCATTGCAAGATGGATGTTTAATGCTTTTCATAGTCATTCCTGTGTTAACATTCCATTGGAACAAATGTTCCAGTAGCACCGCGACACTCTTAGACAAGATTTTGCCACAAACTCAGCTCATGCTCTTGCTATTTTTGTAAGGAAGTAAGTTCAACATTGGAACTGCCTGATAACAAGCATTGGTAGTTCAGTCTTAGAGATCTGAACAACTGCTGTAATAAGCACCAGCACGTTAAGTCTCAGGTGTGAACACCGAACCACATGCATTAAAGCTAGCTATACGACTGACTCATATAGAATATTCAGTATGTAAGAAGTTGGGCAGATGGAGAAAGCTGATTACCTCAGCTAGCCAGGTTCTGGAAACTAAGTTGTTACAATTCCCTTGGAACTGACAACAGAAATGTAAGATTCTGTACCAAATACGCACCTTTTTGAATAATTTAAGGGTTCAGAAGAAAATCTTAAAGAATGTTAATATATCTTAATTATTTGTGCACTTCTCTCCTTACACCCATATTTTGAGTCAAATATCATTTATTTTCTGATATTTATCTTCTATTTAAATTTCAGAATTAGTATTCATTGGGATGTAGACTGAGATGGGAAGTAATCAATAACACAGGTGCTCATTATTTAAATTAAAGTCAGACAAACTTCAATAACAAAAGTGAGTTAATAAGCTCTTGAATTGCCATTGCAGAAATGATGATAAATTATGAATGAAGGTTTTATGTAAGGCACAAGAGAACTCTCAGGATCAAGCTGACAAGATTACTTGTATTCTCATTAGCAGTAGCCATCATATTCGAGAACTAACATGATCATAAAGAACGTAGCAAAAAATACCTGTCGTTTTCAAGTAAGGAACACAAGAAAGAAATTTGCAATTGCAAATGCCCAGAGCATATTTTCAGAGAGCTTACTGACAAGAAGAATTTACAATATGATTCAATTCTTGTTTAATTACACAAAGGATCATTTTAAAACCCATTTATCTGAAAAGTGCTTGGCATAGTAAATCCATTTAAAATGGCACACGAGAGTGGGCAATTAAAAATGCAAACCAAACTGAAGATTAAAAAGCAAGATTAAACCTAATATGCTTCTTAAAAATAAAATTAAAAAAAAGTTTTTTTCAATCTCCCCTCTGGCATATTAGGTTGCAGTTTACACATAAAACAGGCAGATCTGTGATTTCCAAAGCCCAGCATTCCAGCTGCAAAATGCATTTAAGAAGGTAGCTTAGACACAATGGTGGCACAGTTTGTAATAGCACATGTCATTATTCAGGAATCTTTAAAGCAAAAAAAGAAATCAAACTTCTGGAAACAAACAAGCCCTGCCAGCTTCTGGAGTATTCATCTAGGATTCAAAATCAAGTTTCAATTTGCTTCTTTCAGTTTTGCAGTAGTTTCCGTGAAATGAAATCAAGGTATGCTGCAGAGCTTCAGCGCAGTCCTCAACGAATAGAAGAACTACCAGCCAAATATAACAGCTCTGAAAGCATTCTCTGCAGGATTATCATCTTAATGGACATGGAGAAAGATTGATGCTTTGGTATCTTGAGAACGCATTTGCAGTGTAGAAAATGGATGGTGGAAGGGAGCTGGAAGGCTTGAGAGCAAAGAATGCAGGCATGAAATCACAGATATTACAGATTTTTCATCACAGTCTTTCAGTTCATTGCCTGATCAGCTCTTAACCTTCATTCCAATCATCATCTTACATGCAGTTGGTGTAATAGTTGAGAGTTCTGTAACTCAGTTATAGCAAATATAAGATATTACTGCAACGCATCAGCAACATGAGATTTCAGCTTACTGGATTCATTCCAATTAACTCACCTTCCAATTAACTACATTTAAGGGACTAATTTAAGGATTAAAGTAGGCACCTACAGTTGTTCTAAGCAACACAACGTCTGCTTCTTCCAAGCTGCAGGGGACACAGTTTGCCCACACATCCCATTCTGGTTTCCAGTAGAACAGCAGCAGGAGAGCCCCACAGGACAAGATGTACCCAGCAATGCACAGAGCCCTCCGGCAGCACTGGGTTTTGTAGCCAAAAATTTCCTGCACAGCAAAGACAAGGAAAGAATCATTCTTACATCTGGAATAATACAGGTTCCCATCATCCACTGCTCTTCTGTAGATACTGTTTGGTATGGTACTGTGGGGAAAATAAACAAACCAAAAACCCACAAAGTTGTAGAACTTTCATTTTGCTTCTTTATAGTATATGACCAGAAAATCATTTTGCTTTCTGCATAGTTTGCATCCACCCACACAAAATCTGTATTCCTGTAGTCTGTCCGAACTTCTAACACAGATTTATTTAGTTGTGATTCTGTGGATGAAAAAGTAAGAATGATTTGAAATGATATCGAAATATAAAGGTCCTAACACTTACGCCTTAAGACAGGAAGCCAAGCTTGCTTGCTCAGCTTTTCTTAAGATCTCTGGGTGAGACTTGCTGGAGCTGCATTGTAAAACTTGGCACTGTATTTGTAGGGCTGTTACCACCTTCCACAACAGCTTCAGTGTGGGGATTTGGGACCTTGCCAATATGCTACTGTCCTAACATCCCAAAATAATAATAACTGTTATTAGGAACAGCTAATGAACACTTGCACAATGCTTTACATGTTCAGAGGGCAAAAGGAAGCTACTCTCTGTAGCTGTATGAGTAGGTATCATTACTCCTTTTTAAAGCTGGGGAAATTGTTACAATGAGGCAAGGTGACCTGCCCAAAACTTCAAAGGGATGACTGTCAGCATTATAGTTTAAGAACTGCCAGGTCATGGTAGCATGGCCAAAATCTCTCTCTGTGGTGCTATCAGAGGTTGGGTAAAGGTGAAACAAAGTGTACAAAGTGACTTTACAAAGCAGACCGAGTCCTGATCTAAGTGAAAGATAGAACAGCCGCAATTACATCAGATGACCAAGGGAATTTGCTAACGTAAGGGTTAAGATTCCTCAATCTCCTTCTTCTTAGTATATCTGCAGCAATTGTGCAATCTGCTTCTCAAGATCAGATATCTGCAGCTACAGATATTGCAAGATCCATTCACAAGGGGAGAAGAAAAGATAATGTAATTGAAAGGATGAGTAATACATAATTCCTGGTTCTGTGCTGGTGCCTTTGCTTATTATGCGAAACGCAGGCCCTACCCTGTGCTTCCGCTGGGAACGACCTGCCTGCACTCTGTCATTCCCCAGAAGATGGACTCCATTCACCTAGGTGGTCTCCATAGGGCTTCTAAACAGAAGAAAATGGCAACTGTGGAAAGAAGTATGGGAGGCTATGCAAATAAGTGGCTTGCATTGCACAGGACATGTTTATACCACCTTGAGATGCACATGCTCAGCATTTTCAGAGGTTTCTATAGTCTCTGAGCAGCATAGCTGCAGATAGAAGGAACTTCATGCAGGCCAGCAGATAGGCAACACCATTTTAAGGTGGTTGGTGTAGCAGTCGTGCTATTAGTATTCACTAATTGCTCCAACAGACAGGTAAAAGGCTTTCCATGCACTTCTGTCTAGTTGTATTCTCAACAAAAAGGTTACAAAATTAGTGTCAACACCAGCACACAGAATAGTACATACAATGATGCAAACTCGCAGTTACTAGCAAGATGCAGATGCCTGTCTCCAGACATCACAGCCTGTCAGCAAGGTAAAGAAACTCCCAAGTAGATAGAGATGCCTAAGGGAAGAACTGTTAAAAGAGCGTGCCTTCAGATTTCCTGCAGTAAATAGCTGGACCTGAAATAACTAGAATAATCTTTCCAAATTGGGATGGGCCTGTATATCAGGGTGGGGAAGAATGAGATTGCTGCCATGTGCATCTTGCTTCTGTGAGTGATTCATTCCTTTAATTTCCATCTTTTGTGCCTTACACCCAAAGTCTGAGAGGTCAATAAAGCTGTAGGTAGTACAATTAAAAAGGGTGAGGGTGGGCACCTAGTATGTGATTGGCAGTCATCTGGGCTCATCCTCTGTTGGCAGTGTTCTTCTTTTCAGAAATGCCGAATGATTCCCCAAGCCTTACATGTCAAATTAACCAAGAGGTCCACCCACCAAAGCAATGTGTTTGGAGGGATAATGGTGTCCTCTTTCACAATGGCAACATTGGGGTGAGTCATGTGCCAAGATGCATCTGTCCAATTTCTTGTATTTTTGAAATGAGACTTCCTAGTTTATGCAAACCAACAACCAAAAGGGCTTAAATAAAAATACACAACAAACAATTAATCCCTGTACACTGCAGGGCATTCACGGAACAGCAAGCAAACAGAAACAGTGAGCAAACAGAGCAAACAGAATCCACAGAGCTAAGGCAGATTCTGTCTTTCTCTGCCTAGAGAAAAAGGCATCTATATATCAACATCTGAGTTCTACCTACACCTGCGTGTTTTCAGGCGTTTGTTTTTCCCTCAAACAAAACAAAACAAAACAAAACAAAACAAAACAAAACAAAACAAAACAAAACAGTTTAATCCTCTAGATTTCAAGATATTTTTCAAAGTCAAGAAAGCATCAGTATTCCCTATCTTGAAAACTAGGACACAGGAAAAGAAGGAAAATAGCTGGGGGAAAAAAGGGCCTTGCTCTCAGGTCATCCAGTATTGTTAAATCTTGCTGATTCTGACAATGGAGTTGCCTGACATAGATACTTTTAAGCTGTTTTGACACAGTGCACATTCTGCCCTAAGTGTTGGTTCAGGTTGGTTTGTTTCTTGATGAACATGGCATTTCTGAATGTAGGTGTTCAGGAGCTCTACAAGAAGTGATCTGGGAAAGAATAAACAACAGATGTTAACTGCTGTTTTGTATCTGGTTTCATAAGCCAAAGTAAAGCAAGGTTTTTCCAAGGTTTGAAAGTGTCTGGAGCACGTTACCTGGGCTACGTTTTTCTGATGAAAAACTGAACAGGGAAACAAACGAACCTCCAAACCTTACTTGTCCCAGAGCTCCCCTTTCAATGCTCTGCTCTAGAATAAAACCTCCTGTTACATTCAGCTGGTTTTCTGACTGTGCCTTCTGCCTTCTGACGAATTCATAAAAACATTTAGTAAATAAATAATTCCTTGCTTAAAAAGCAATGGAATAAATAAAACCACTTCTCATTTATCAAATAGGTCAATAAGGATTTGTTCTTCTGAAGAATTTTCAAAATATTCCCTTCTCGAAAAAGAAAAAAAGGTGAATATTTGACCCACAACACTGGTAATCACAATGTGTATGAAAAAGTGGGAACAGGCACATGTATCGTGAAAGTTTCTCAGCAGGTTGGTCTAGCCACGTGAATGTCTTAGTGTCTTAGTGTTATTAGTGTTTGGAAAGCCTTCAAGCTTATTCAGGATTTGCTAGGTCAACACTGCAAAGATCTCCCAAGGAAATCTATGTTTGCTATGACAAGCAATGCTTCCTGGGCTGACAAAAATCCTGGTGTTGATGTCACCAATAAGAGCTCATCTGTCAGCTTGGTTTGATGTTGGTAAGGAAGAAAACAACTTCTGTTGGCTTGTATTTCACTGCACAAGGAAGTTGTACTAATGTAGACATGCTCACCTGAAATATACAGATTTGCACCTTCTGTATTCCATGGCAGGTTGTTATGGCTTGATATATAACATGCAGTTAAATAACCTAGGTTCACAGCAGCCCAAAAATTACAGGTGATGAAAAACAAAGCTAAGATTAGCTGTCTGTAATACTCCAAAGCGTTTCTTGTCATTTCATAGGACATAACACTGCCTACAAAAGAGGCTGTACAAAGGACTCATCTCTGTGCCATAATTTTTAATTAATTCTAGTGTATTGTAAAACTGTTTCCCTGCCTGTTGACAATACCTTTCTCTTGGAACTCCTAACAGTCAGAAGAGTAACAAATAGAGAAGAGTTTCAACTTGTGAGTGAGGGGTCTATGGAGGGGCAATGAATTACTGGACTGTCAGACCCGCTCAGTTGGCAGAAAACACGATTATTCAATGAAAGGCTCTTAGCTGCATCTACAGTCATACAAAGCCAGTTCTCAAGGGCTTATTGCTCTAATATTCAGCAAGTCTGTTACTTACGGTTAAAAGAAAAATTCCCTATAACTGCAGAGTCATCTGCTCAGTAGAAATGAAGTGCAAAAGTGAAACAAGTTCAAGCACCCTTTTCCTTGGTGAAAACATGGCTTGTAGGTACTAAAGAGAAAGAAATCTGAACAGTGGCTGTGAAATATCATAATTCTGGCAACCCAATCACCAGGTACCCTATTACTAATAACTTGTTGCTGTAGCAACAGGTAATAGGATTAGACTTGAAAGACCGGTAAAGATTCACAATGAATTTAATATCTGAATCTCATTCTTAGCAATTGGAACCCCTTTCATTAGAGGTTTGTTCCCATTCCCTCTGAAGCCAGGAGCAACATTCAGTGTTGTTCTATCAGAAACACACTCAACAACATTCTCCTCCCTGGAAAAACCATAGTTCTGTAATTAGAAATCCAGTTTAATACAGGTTCCCAGGCTAAAATAGTGTTGCTAATTCAACAGACTGCTTTAGCTAACAATTTATTCAAACATAAGAAGTGTTTCATTGATTTTTTTTTTAGTTCTAGAGAAGATTCAAGATTCCCATCTCATCCAGATGGAGCTCACCCTAGAGATTCAGCTGTTAAATGTTTAGGAACGCTACTCTAGGCCAACCCTCAGGCTGGGACAAGGCCAGCAGTGGCTAGTTTTACAATACTACATCAGTATTCTGTCAGCTTCTTCTAAGATTCTGTGAAGTTATCTTCTGCTGGAGGTAAAAATCAATTACATCTAGTGGACATATCCAACTTAGTATTCTTTCAGTTAAAAAATAAATAAGTATATATATATACATACATACATATCTCTTTATAACTGTATGTTTCTGCTATGGAGATACTACCATTCATAATTAAATTACAGACTGTATCATTTTATTGCAGAACACGTGCCATCTGCTGCTTTGAATTGAGAAAGACCTAGGCAAAGATAAAACGACTCACCATTTCATTCTCCTCTCCCTGGTTAAGCAGTGCATAATGGCTCTTAGCAGGATTTTCCCCCATGAAATGACCTTCTGGAGACTTTGTGCAGCACCCTCGGGACAAGTCTTCAGTGTTGTGTGGCTTGAATGTCCGCATTGAGGAAGTGTTCTAAGCACACACCTTCTTTCTAACTCTGCTTTTGTTTGAAGAATGGAGCTCCTCCCTCTCCGTGGGGTAAACAGGTAACATTCATCCCTCCTCCTTTCATTCTGTTGTTGGGGTTTTGAGATTGAGGGGATACCTTGAAATAAAACTCACTCGAAGACACTGGGGAAAACAAAAATTAGATCTGATAAGCATTTGTCAGAGCAGGAATCCTAGTCATAGCTCTGATAGTGCAGCAAGTGCTGCTGGCATGCATATTTCAGGGGTGGGCAAGAGGTGAATATGTCTCCTCAAGAGATTATAGAATTACTGGGGACTAGGGAGCGTGTCCAAATGAGAAGGACAATAGGCTTTGCTGTTGTTCTACTCTTAGCAACCAGCCCGTCCAGCTGTGATTCCCTCATGTTCCTTGGAGAAAATTCAAGTTCTGGCTCTAGTTTGTGCAGGTGGATTTGTGTACTGGCTAAGTGTGAGGATCCAGCCATGTAGGGTCTGTGATCAATATTTTTGTTAATTATTAAAAATATTGTCACAGAACATCTTCTGACCTTACTATATAACTTTGGGGAAAGTAATTGTAGTTATTTATTCACACTTCAGCAAAACTAGAGCTCTTTGTGATGTCAGAGAGCTGGGTACAAATGTCTCTGACCTCTTATACAGGGTCAAAATGAAGCTCACAAAAGAATAATAAAAATTAAAGAAACAAAAACAGCAATCAGGGTTTTATCACTTTCTTTTTTCACTTCTCTGGGCTGAATTCTTTATTATTCCTGTGATTCATTCTCATTGTCATTACTGTTTCCTTGTCCTTTGCTATTTTTTAAGAAGTTGTACTTCAAACATTGTAGGAATGAGGTCAGGAGAGGCAAACCTGTTCTTCCAGAAAATATGTTAAGGAAACTAAATTATTATTTCTAGAATGACTGAAACAGACCAGGACATGCCAAGTTTGTTCCTGCTCATCTGCACTTCAGTTCCATGTGGCATGCACTTGTATATGCCACAAACATCTCAAGCACCATGAATGGCCATTGCCTGTTTCATGTGATGGGCAGGACTGGAAGACTCAGAAAAACTGAAAAGTCAGAAATGGTTGGAAGAGAAAGGAGGAAATGAAGGAGGTTGGCCAAGCAACACAAGAAAAATCGCCCATTTCAGTTTGTTCTTCTGAGACTCGGCAACAAAATTCCAGTTATTACCTAACAGTCAAAATTTTCCATTAAGAATTAGAAAGAATACAATGTAGTCCATTTATGATAAACGTATTTATAAAGTTCTGCACTATTTAAAATCTATAACAGACAGGAAACAACTACAAAGGCAACTTTTCCAAAGCAGGCTGATGGTTTTGGGAAATGACTCATTATTTTGGGAGGTGACAGCAATGGAAAACAGGAGTGCCACAAACAATTTTTCTGTCTGATCAGCTTTTGCTGCTTCATCAAATGTCAGCTTTGCTCCTTATGGTGTGTGAAGAAGAGTAGGATGCAGCATGTGTCACTGGGCAGCACTTCCAGAGAAGAGAGTATCAAGCAGATCACACCAAACCTGGAACTCCAGGGAAGAATCACAACTCACCCAATCTATTCATTGCTTATAGCCCAAGTCCAGCCTCTGTTGACATTTTCTACTCCTATATAACACCCTTATTTGGGAGATTTGCATCTTCACGACCGAAAATAAAGGAGGCGTAGATTAAAGAGTTAAAAAAATCATAATTTCCATAGATTGGCAACCTGGCATAGCATTTCAGAAAAGTCTGTTCATCCAGAAGGAATGAAGATGGTGGAATTTGTCCATTTTCTTAAGGAGGGCTTTTATCTGCAGAAAATGCAGCACCCTAACGCAGAACCTGCAGTTAAATGATGCCTCCTACTGTTCAAACCAAGTATTACAGGTCTGTAATTATACAGCAGTTATTTGTATTGGCTTCTACCGAGTGTCACCATTCCTCTTACTAATTTGAAATTTGCTTTAAAAACAGATAAAAATCACACCTCCAGGAACAACGACTCCACCGCCTCCCTGGGCATCCGGTCCCAATGCATTACCCTTCTTTCTGAGAAAGAGATTTTTCCTAATATACAATCTGAAAGCGTTCTCTGAACATCTTCTACTCCAACCCCGCCCTGCGATTAACAATAGCCTGACCTATAACTCGCCCCAAACTTCTCTTTATGTCCTGCAATGGTCAGGGAGCCCGGAGACAGCACAGAGAAGAAAGTGAAAGGAGTTGGGAGACACGGTGTGCAAGGAAGATTGACTTCGTGTTGTGCAACCTGAGGGAGGCTCTGAGAAGTCACGACGAGCACCGGCACTACCAGACTCCAGCGCCCGAGGTCTGTACACAGCGGCTTGGCACAAGCCAAGAATTGCATGAAGCGATCGTCTGCGGGCAGAGGAACAGCCCTGCCGATCCCTCTTGGTTCCTCTTCCACTTCCAGGCATCCTGCCTGCGACCCAACAGCGGGCAGAAGGGCGCTGAAAAACGCCTCTCGCTTTTCAGCACCTGAGGCAGCGCCGCCACCCGCTCCTTGCCCTTCTCCAGCATCACAGCTGTTTGAGCCCCTCCGGGAACGGAGGTTCCGCACCGCGCCAGAAGCACAGCCGCAGGCGCTGCACACTTCGGCCGGGCTGGAACGGCCACGAGCGCCTCGCAGCCGGCGCAGCCGGAACCTTTGGGAGGGGCGGAGTTTCCAGCCGGACCTCACAACGCGGACCGGGGACCCGGAAGCGGAGCGGCCCGGCAGCCCGGCGGCGGCGGCCCTCCCTGCCCTTGGCCGCGGCTGCGACGGAGGAGCTTCGTGCGGCCTTTCTTCCTTCTCCTCCTCCCCGGCACCTCCCGGCCTTTAGGATGTGGCGAACGAGGGCGGCGGCGGCTTGGTGAGCGGGCAGGGGGCAGGCCGGGGGCCGCAGCTGAGGATTGGGTCCGGCCGTGGGCGGAGGGGTGCTGGCTTCCGAGCGCAGTGCTCGGGTATGGGAACTGCGGGCCTTTTTCCTCGTCCTTTCCAGTATTCTTTGACTTGTGCTACACCAGCGTAGCCCAGTTGCGGGCCGGTAGTCAGGCGGGTTCTGTGGCACAGCTGTGTGTTCGTGTTTGGTGTGCAGTTGTTGAGGCAGCTTGCCAGAGGTCACGGAACAGCTGGTTCGGTCGTGGTGTTTTGGTACCGTTTCAGTGTAACTGCGCCTCTCAGGGAAGATCTTGTGGGTTTTTTTTGAGTCAGTTTTCATCAGTCATTTTCAACAGCGGGAAGGGGAGGCAAACAGTGGAGGAGGCAAATTGCATGGAACCTTCACTGTAGTGCTTGAGTTGTTGTTTTTACTGTAAGCTTCTATATGCATACACTGAAAGCTTAAGCTGTGAGAGAGCGCTCAGCAGGCACTTGTTGTTGAAGCTGTTGCCTTATGGTTTGTGATAGAACTGCAGAGTGAGCAATGGAAAAGACAGTGCGTTTTAAAGGGACCATTGCAGAGAGGGAAGTTATGGACCTCTGAAAACGTTTTCCAGCTGCTGAAGGCTGTTGATGGGAAGGTTGCTGTAGCGTGCACTACTGCTTGGTCTCTGCTGAAGAATGTCAGTATCTGTGTAATGGCAGTGGTAGCACAAGAAAGCAAATAACGGTGCTGTTGTTGGCTTGCTTCATCCCAGCTTACCACAGCCTGAATAACATCTGTCTTCAAGGGCAGTCACCATCAGCAAAGTTTTTTGAGAGCTGAAAATGTCACTGATTGTTAACTTTCCTTCCAAAGGCTCGATTTCCGTGTTAGAAGTGTTTTTATAGCCGAGTCTTTCACTTGTTTGGAGGTTAAGAGTGTGCCTGTGAGAGACAGTGCCATCTCTAGTACACAGCACATCTCAGAGGAAAGATTATATTTACTATAGAGTTTATTTTCAGTTTCTGTGATTCACTTATATACTCTCTCTAGGATCCTTGAATATGAAATTGTTAAGGATTGCAGCATGAATAGTTTATCTTCTCAGTGGTGTGAAACACTTTCTTCTTTGTAGTTTGCCCCCTTCGTAAGTAAATGCATTTGAGAACATGGAAAACCCTGAAAAAGCATCAAGGAACAAGTATTAATTTCAGGAACTGTAACTTCACTCAAATTTTGCATCCAGCAAATGATGTAATATGAACTTTTCTGGTAGGATGGTGAAACTAAAAAGATATAAAATAAATCACTTTTTCCAGAGCTGTTGTCATTTCCCTAAACCAGGAAAGCTACCTCAAAATGTTGAAGCCTGCAGATAGCATAAATGAAGATATTCCAACTTATCTTTGTATTTTAGTACTGGCAAGATTGATAAGTTTCTGTGTTTGAACTGTGCTTTTCATTCACACTGAAAGTCTTCATTGTAAGTAAATCTGCATTACTTTACTGAAGTCTTCAATAAGCACAGTGCAGACAGGTCCAGAAGTAATCTTGTCTATGCATGACCTGAGAGAAAACAGTAATGCTGTAATCCTAGAACCATTGTGAATTAGAGGGAAGGAAACTGAAAGATTTCTTCAGATAAATCCTTCTGCTCCTCAGGAGGATCAGCTTTGCCAAGAAAAAAGAAAATGCATTTTGTAGGAGATTTTTTTTGTCTGCCTGTTTTTTTTTGAAGTTTGAAAACACTCTTCAAAATCTACTCAAGTCTAACTTTTAGAAAACATTAGGTAGATAGGCCAGACTATAAAGCTTTCATTTATGTATCAAGTTGGTGGTAGTTTTCTGTGGACTCGGCGACTTGTTGCCCAAACTATGCCCAAACTGAGATGTTTTTCCCCTAATCTTCTGTGGAATTTAAATCTACTTAACAACAGAACTTATAAATGGTATTTGAGGTGTTTGTTGTTTGTTTGTTTTTCAGTAATCACTGGAAATGCTGTGCCAATGAATACTGTTTATAGCTTTTATTTTCCCGGTAGCACAGCAATGGTAGCTGGACATTAAGAACGTTGCTCTAATTTATCTGTAACCAGCTAA